CTCGGATGGTACAGAAAGGCAGTGAGAAGTGCCAAGGCCAAAGTCAGAGGGGAGTCAAGCCGCCTCGCGAGCAGCCACCTATCTGGAGCTTTCCCATGTTTTCATAGAGACTCTCAAATTTCAGGCCCTCATAGCCCTTGAAGAGGGGGCAAGATGACATGCATTCATTCCTTCATCTTGTCCTGGGGCCCTACTCTGGACCAGGCATCTTATAGTTGAGGAGACTGGGCCTCAGAGAGTGGGCAGGCTGTAATGATCAGAACAGGATGGACCATGTTCAGGAGGAAGAGACAAATGGTCTGCCTGAGAGCTGTGCAGGCCTGGACTCCAGGGCCCTGGGCCCAAAGCCAGACTACTCAGGTGTGGGGTTCTGCTCAGCTATCCATGCAGCTGGGTAAACTGCAGAGCATGACCTCTTAGCCTCAGGGCTTCAGTTGGCAACCTGTGAGGGGAGGCCATGCTGCAGATTCCTTGTAAATGGTTGTGAGGATTAAGTGAGTTAACGCCCTCGGCTCATTAACTCAACCCAATTGCTCACAACCACGCCTTGCTCTCAGTCTGGTTACTATGTGGAAAGTATGTGCCTTACTTTGTACACCGTGAAGCCACACACTTGATAAGGGATGACATACTGGCAGGAATTCAGAATGCCCTGAACTGCCCTTTTCTGGTGGGTAAACCTAGGGTAGGGGTAAATGAGGACAGAGGTTGAGGTGAGGGTGCAGCCAACGGAAGGGACCGGCTTAGGGGTCACACAGCCCTTCAGCGTGCAGGCAGCCGCAACCGCAACCGTCTGGCTCTTACACTGGTCGTTGCAAAATCTGGTCCCCTAGAGGAGTGAGACACGGTGTGACAGGAGGTGATGAGATAATAAATCCAGGAGCAGCGGGGGTGGGCACCTTCTTTCCTGGACTGCCTTTCTGGGTCAAGGCAGCTTTCTAGAACCCACGGGGGAAGGGGAGACCTTGCCGCCCACCCATGCCTTCAGCTGGGACCCCGCTACATATTAACCAACATGCACCGCGGCTCGCAGGTGGCCCCTGCATCTGGCAACTGTCGCAGAGGAGGGCACAGGCCCTAAGGTATGAGATCACCGGTGTGGCCCCTCCTTTTTTGGCGACGCTTAGGGTCTGGCGCCACCGTGTGGCCATAGGGGGAAGCCGCCTACACAGACGCAAGGCTATCCAATAAGCTACAGAGCAATCTTGGTTTGGACCTGCTCAAGGGCTCAACAGAGAGGCGTGGCATCCTCTATCACTCCGCAGCTCATCCTGTCACCCCTACAGCTCCTGGAACTGAGAGGGCGGCAGAGTCTAGTGCAGCTCAGGGAAGCATGCATCGTCCCATCGGTCCATCTCTCCCAGAGCTGCTAAGGTCCGTGCATACTAGAGTAAGCACTTGCAATTCACGATAAAGGGGGTACTTTGCAAGGCAGGGGGTCACAAAGCTTGGATGCAGATTTGAGGGTGTCCCTCTGCCCCACCCTAATGTTCCCAGAATGATGGAGACACGGGAATAAGTTTAGACTCTGGCCTTGGGAGAGACTCTGATCAGACTTTAGACTCTGATCTATAAAGTAGGGTAGGCAGGGTCTGTCTCCAGGCCTAATCGTTAGAAGCCAGAAAACATCCCTCTGTTGCCAACTGCCAGCTGAGACTAAAAGATGGAAGAGAGAGTAACCAGCTGGGTGTGGTGGTCTACAGTACTCAGGAGATGGAGGGTCAGAAGTTCAAGGTTATTCTTGTCTATGTGGGGAGTTCAAGGCCAGCCCAGGATACATGAGACCCTTTTTCAAAAACAAAACAAGACAAACAGAAACCGAGCTGGGAAAAAGAAGGAAAGAGAGAGAACATTTGCCCTGTGGTCTAAGTATCTTGAAGTCCCAAGCTCCTCTCTGTTTCTGACTTTGCTCTCAGTCCAGGGCAGAGGGCACTGGGGCGCTGGTGATCAGAAGGTGTGGGAAACAAACCCAGGTGCCCTGACCCAGGGGACAGGCTCTGGCTTTGCTCCAAGGGTCTTTTGTGCACCTTGATACAAGAGAGAAGTGAAACTAAGGCTGGCATTGCCCTGGGACCATGGCGGCTAGACTTAGTTCTGCCACTCATTGCTACCACAGATGGGTCACTTCTGAGAGGTGACTTGTGGTCTGTCTCTGGTGTGGGTCTGTGCATCCTGAGGAGAGCTGAGTTTGGGTCAGGGGCACATTTGCTAGGTGAAATACACAGCACCGCAGCTCTGTCAGAAGTGTGGCTGTTCTGCTTTGCAGAGCATCATTCAGGGCCGCTTCCCCACCCTTTTCCACCATTAGGGAGACAGTGGCCTCCTCCCAGGGTCCTCCCCTACCCTCTTCAACTGTTAACAGCCCTTGTCCCACACAATGGTGTCTTCCCAAACATTGATCCTTCATCCCTCACCTCCATTTTTTTTTCTTCAATTCCCCTATCCTTCTCTTCTCTTTCTTCTTTTCTCCCTCTTCTTCTCTTTCTCCCACTGTCTCTCCCCACCTCTCCCTCTCCCTCTACATCCCATGTTTTCTTATCTACTCTTCTCTCTCCTTCTCTCCTCCCTCCTTTCCCTACTGGATCCACAGGCCCTGTGTTCCGGTGTCCTTCCCTTCTCAAGCCTTTCCACGGTCCCTTGATGGTATAAATCTACAGAAGGAACTGGAATGTGGCAACGCACATTCGGGCCATGATAGAACCAGAATTTGGTGCTCTGCTTCACCTCCGCCTCAGTTTCCTCATTTTTGAAATATCCATAAGAAGTCCGGCTCACAAGGCAGCTGACATCCCTGACTAGGGCCTGGCATGCCTGAACTTTCCCCAAGTCTCTCCCTGGTGGGAGACCTCTCCACTGCATCCTTGGCTCTTCCAAAGCCACTCACTGTGTGTGTGTGGCCCCGTTGTTGACCCTGCCGTACAAAGCTGGAAGCCTGCTCACAGCAGACATAGATAAACTGGCGTTAGGCTCTGGTTCCCTAGTGGGTGATCCATTCAGAACAGTCGCTTGAGTCTCTGTGAAGTCTCTTAGGGATCTGCGGGGAAAGCTGCAGCTTTATTTTTTTTCCTGGCGGTTCAGGGGGACTCACTGTGGCTGCGTGACTCTTGGAGTTCACAGCTTCAGCCCAGTGTGGTGTGTCTTGAAGGCCACTGAGCTCTCCTCCTTCGGGTTCAGCACCGCTGTTCTAGAGTGCGGCCCACCATCTTGCAACTAGAGGTAGCAGCGCTTCACAGTTTTGAACTGTGTTGCAAACATGTCCTTTCCAGTCTGGCGTTAGGCGTGGGCTTCTCTCTGCCCAATCTTTGTGTGATACCCCTACACTGCCCTGAGGACAGTTTCTCTCATCGATCACCTGTCTTTTACACCTCTGTCCCCAGCATGCTTAGAGTCCACCGTTAAGATGTTGTGAGAGTGTGGTCCTGCCTAGAGTCCCCAGTCCCAGAGAACAGGCATTCCCAGCATGCACTTGCTTCTTCCATAGGTGCTGAACCAGGCAGCGGGGTGTATCAGGGTGCCATCAGCAGGTCCTGCTCGCACAGGGCTCCTATGCTCCAGGGGGAGGCAAGAAAGACAGATGAGAAAGAGGGGTCTAAGAGAACAGAACAGCTGTTGAGATGTTGGAGACGAGGTGAGTTCCTAAGCCCCGAGAAGGGCTGAGCCCTGGGAAATCAGCTGGTAGAGGGGAGAAGCTGCCTGCACTTTAGAACCTTCCAAGAGCACTCTGGGTGCCATGTGAAGAGGGGTTCTTACGGGGGCAGGAGTGGGAAGCACGTGCCAGTGAGGAGACACCGATGTTGACGCAGTGGAGAGAGCAGAGAGGATTGTCCAGCAGGCTTGAGAGGGCAGTGACTGAGGGCCACTGAGCCTTAAGAGAGATGCCATCCCTGGGCCCTATCTGTATGGTTCCATCTCAGGAACGTGTGTCAATGTGTGCATGGTTCCCTTCTTGAACCTGACCTACAGAGCTGTGCTTCGGACTCTTGTGTCTGGGGAGGGCCCTGCCCAAGTTTACCTACATCCTGGGCTCTTCCTACACCCTAGGCCCCACCCCTAGCCTGACTATTGCTTGCTTCCAAGGCTGTGGGCTTAGTAGATCCACAAAATCCTTGGAGACCCAGCTCCAGGAAGTTCTGGCGGCAGTGAGGCTCACACAGGGAGGGTGCCCTCTACACACGTGTGCTCACTACCCACCCTGTGAGGCACCCCCACTGGAGAGGAGGACCTGGCACACTGTTTCAATATCACACACTTCCCAGTGCTGACCTGCAAGCCCAGGCTCTCCAACTAGACCTGCTTCCCTGGGTCTTGTGGCCTCCCACGGTGTCTGGATGTCCTCCAGTCAGTGGATTTGTGACTGCCCAAGCCCGGGGGATCCCATGTAGTCTCTAGATCTCCCTGACATCCATGAGGTACATCCAGGTCTTAGAGGCCAATGACCTGGGGCCAACTTCTGTTTGACCCTCCATTCAGCCATCTGGGCCTGTGCAGGGGAGGGAGGTAACCTTTCAGAGGCCCAACTGGTCCCTGTAGGAGCATGCCTACCTCCTTCCCATGTAGGTGTAGCCAGCAGGGAGTGGTACTTAGGAGCACCCCAAGTCCTTTCCTCTCAGAGTAACAGATGTGCTAACCCCACTGAAATGTCTTGTACCTCCACCCTGATGCTATACCCCAAGAAGCCCACCTACCTTCTGAGCTCACCTGAAATGCTTAGCTGATGGGCCTGGAATATCATCTGGGCCATGTTCTCACTTCCTATATGTATATGTGGAGGCCAGGATGGGGAGGATTGGTCTGAGGCCTCTCATTGGGCCAGCTCCCTCCAATGACTCGCCGCTCCAACCTTTTGAACCCGAATCCCACCCAAGCCCCTGGGCATTTCCACAAGGAGGGCGGGGGATGGTAACTTAGGAAACCAGGGCCCTAGGGAGCTGGTTGTGGCCCTCCTGCAGCCCTCATCCCCACCCACGTGTGTCTTCTATTCCATGTCTCCCCACAGGTATATCCGCACCATGTACCTGGGGATCCAGAGCCAGCGGCAGAAGGAACACCAGCGACGCTTCTACTGGGCTATGATGTACGAATATGCAGATGTCAATATGCTGCGCCTCCTGGAGACCTTTCTGGAGAGCGCCCCCCAACTGGTGCTACAGCTCTGCATAATGATCCAGAAGAACAGCGCAGAGACGCTGCCCTGTAAGTGCCTGTCTGCCACACCCCACCCCTCAACCCCCGCTGCAACCGCCTCATTTGCCTACAAGGCCTAAGGGTCCTGGCTGTATGAGTTCTGATGTCCAGACCCAGCGCACCTGGCAGGGGTTTCTTCAACCTCCCCTGCTCCCGAGGCATTTGTCCATAAGAGCAGGGTTCCTAAGGGCCGCTGGGCAGCAGAGCCGTGAGCCACCCCACCCCTGTTGCCTTTGCATTGCCTTGGGGCCTGATATTTCTACATCTGTGGAAAGGGGATAATCAGGCCTGAGGACAGCATGTGCCAGCAAAACTGAATCATGTCAGGTCTTACTTCTTGGTTTTGGACATTTTAAATGTTGGCTCTTGCTTCCAATGCATGTAGATACCTCAGCTCCTTTGAAAAAAAAAAAATAGGCTGATGCGGTTGGTGCTCCGATGAGAGCACACAGAGGGACCCTGTACTCCTCCCTGTGACCTCAGAAGCCACAGAACATTGTCAAGACATGCAGCTTCTGTGGAAGGAGGGCTCTGGGCCACTGGGGATGCCAAGGTTAGACTGTAGTGATCTTATAGGAGCTGCTGGCTAGCCTTGCCTACCTTGCTACAGAGCACATATCAGGGGTTCAGGGATGTGCCACAACAGTCTCAAGGTTGAGGAGGGACCTGAGGTGGCACGTGGAGGGAGAAATGGGATATTTAACTTGGGATGTGTGAGTCCTGGCACATGAAGGGATAGGAAAGAAGAAATGTCACAGATGGTAGTGTACAGCCCTGGGGAACTGTTATATCGTCAATGGGTGAGAAATGGGAAACATTCCATCCAGCCATGGAAAAACTGGCTCTAGTGGTGGTGAGTGTCTCATTGCTAGGTGTATTCAAGCAGAGACACTGCTGAAGAAACCAGACCCAAGGAAGACCTAACAAGAGTATCCATGATCTAGAATAGCAGGGCATCTGGGGAGAGGGTCTACCCTACTTGCCTTTGCTCTGTCTGGCCAGTGGGCCTCTGGTCTCCTGGGCTATCACAATACCTCCAGAGCCATCAGTCTATATGCTGCATTTGGTTGTTTTTACGGTAGCTCACTTGCTGACGGGCTCTGAGCTTTATACGTGGGCTCCCTGACCTGCTGGCACTGCCTCTGGCTGTGGGATAGCTCCTCCCCTCCCTGTGCCATCAATGCTGAGGATATCTAGAAAGATGCTAAGGGTGTTATGATGCCCTTGCTGGTGCAAGTTTCCTGCCATCTTGGCAGGCATTCTGGGTTAGGGTGGGTTTGGAAAGCAGCCTGGGTGTGCTGGGAAAGGCAGAGAGCGGCATACAACTTGAGCTCAGCTATGCAGACTTAGGATGCTGGATGATTCATTTCCCAGCCATGTTCCTTTATCTCTAAAGGGGGAAGTAAGAGTTGCACTGGGGTGTCGGGAAAGTTTGCTGCACGTATACCTCCACAGCACGTAACCTAGCATCACAGACTGGCATGATTCCGGAAGCACTTTGACACATGCAAACACATTGCTGAGGCCTGAACTATGTGGCTAGAGGGAGTGCCCTAGAGGCAGGGGTCAGAGAAAGCCTTTATAGAGGCCTCTCATTTAGGCTGGGTGTCAACAAGGAGAGAGGCACAGAAATGCCCTTCCATGCTTTGGGAATACCAAAGACCCTGAGGTAGGAAAAACTTTCCCTGTGGAAGACCATTGTGGTAATGACCTGAAAGTGAAAACGCTCACCATAGCTAGAACTTGATGGTGGAGGCAGGGGAGTTGGGTAGAAGAGGCAGTGTCCAGAGAAAGAGCCTAGTGGGCCCTGCAGACATTATGTGCCAGAAACCATGATTTTAGCAGTTATGTAGCTGATCATTTCCATGTAGAGAAGAGGAAGGCAGAACCTTCCCAGGAGCCCCACCAATTAGTGAGATGTTGGCTGTTGCACATGTCCAGTATGTGTAAACCCCTTGGGTCTGAGCTGTGTGTGCCTTTCCGTCCTGTCAGTTGACTAATGGGCAAGAGCGGAAGTCCCTGGACAGAGTACCTGCTTGGAATGGGGTTAGAGCATGAAAGTAGAATGACCTATGACCCCTGAATAGGACTAGATGGCTTGATATGGACCAGTTCTGCTCAGGGAACACCTTAGAGACATGCTTCTTCCTAGGAAAGACGTTTCCCAAGATAAGCCAGGCAGACCTCACTTTTGTTTATTTTAATTTTCGTTGTCTTGAGACAGGGTGTCTCTAGATAGCTATGGCTGACCCGGAACTCACTGGTAGATCAATCTGACTGAGCTTGCTGCGAACCTCCTGTTTCTACTCTCCCTCAGTTCTGGGATATCTTAAGTGGCACCACGCTATAACACTTGGCGGGGGTGCTGGGACTATGCATAGAGGTGAGAGAAGCCAAGCATAGAAGCCCTTGAATCCACTCCCCTTGCTTTAAATGTGGGAAGGTAAAGCACAGAAGACAAAAAAAAAAAAAAGTTGCTCTAAGTCACACAGCAAAGAGCATACAAACAAAGGACTTTTGTGCTTCTTACTGCCCTGAGACAACTGTTGTGGCATGTAGGGTACCTCCAAACACCATGCCTTGCCCGGGGCAGGGAGGGGCAACACCCTCACCTCCCCATCTTAGAGACAGTGCCAGGAAGATGATTCAGCAGACTTGCTTGATGTGCAAGTCTGGTGACCTGAGTTCCATCACAGAGGCCCACCTAAAGGGACTCTACAAGTTGCCTAAACACACACGAAGGAGACAAGAAAGACAAGAGTTTATGAAAATATAAAATAACGCAATGGAACATCGGTTCTCTTCTAGGCAAACATTTAGTCTCAGATGCAGTTCGGTGTCTTTCTGTCTCAACTGTCAAGCTCCCTGCTAGTTTCTTCTTTCAGTTGTGGGCTCTGCTCACATCAGAACCCTGGGGAGATGGCTCCATGGGTGAGAGAGCTTGCTGCACAGGCTTGAGGACCTGAACTCCATCTCTGGCCATGTGTACCTGTAACATCGGTGCCATGGCGGGTGGAGACAAGAGGGCCACTGAGCTTACCGACCTCCAGCCTAGTTCCAGGTTCACATGAGAGACCCAATCTCATGTGAATGAAATGGAGAGTGTTGGAGCAGGACACCCACAACACACATGTGTGCAAACTGCCAAAACTTTAGCTTCGCCTTGGCTTAGCAGACAGCAAGAGCTCTGCTGAAGCACTCAGGAAGGCAGGTGCTCATCTCCTTTTCACTGTCCCACACAAGAAGCCTCAGTTTCCCTTTCTCTGTCTCCCTGGGCAAACTTCTCCTCAGCAGAGCTTGATGTTCCCTTGTGTGGGCCTACAAGTGGAAAAAGGCTGGGGCCCAGCTCTTGGCTGCTGTATTCATGGAATACTTCATTTCTTGACTCCTGGAACTCTTTCTTCCTATATAAGAAACACTTACCAAACTTTTTCCAGTCTGGTTTGTACTGGCGCAAACTCTCTCTAAGTCCAGGACAAAAAAAAAAAATCTATTGTTCTAACAAAATACCTGAGGCTGGAAACTTATAATAGAAATTTATTTCGGGAGTCACGGTGTCCAGAAACATGCTGCTGATACACAGTGAAGGTCTTCTTATGACATCATATGGGTGAACACAGGATAGCTTGCTCTCTCATCATTATAAATCCTCTCATGGTAGCATGGAGGCTCCAGCTTCATGACTTCATCTAACCCCAATAACCCCAAAAGTCTCCACTTCCCAATGCTATTAATACATACATTTGAAGATTAAGTTTCCAACGACACATTCAAACCATTTGCTCACCTCTCCCACCTTGGTTAACACAGAGTGAAGCTGGAAAGTGATGGTGACTTGGCCATGGGAACTGAAGGTCACAGGTCTATAGAACCGTGAATATATCTGCTGGCTTTCGTTTCTTGGAAGCAATAAGTAAAATTTAGTATTGAAGCAATCATTGCATCCAACAATTGAGCCATCACTCGCCATTCTGGGTCATGGTTGTTTCTGTGTCAGTGCTGCCTGACAGGCCTCCAGTGGAGAGGATTCCTCCCCTCCAGGTCCTCAGCACTGGTCTGCCATTCCCAGGAAACATGGTGAGATCACAGACGAGTGGCACATAAGTCTTCCACGGAGGATCTCAACTCCCCAACTGCCCATTGCATCCTCTCTTGATCTCTACTAAGGAAAGAGAGAAATATAAAGTTCTGTTACCCCTCTAGCCACCTCCTTACACATCACTGGGATGGAGAAGTACAACAAAGGCCACGGTTGTGTCCCCAGTGGCCTCTCCCCCACTCCTTTCCTATTCTCTTTTTGAGGCCATGAAAATTCTGCTTGGTTTCTATACACAAGACCCCCTGGCCCTGAAACTCCAGAACTCCACCCTTCTAGCTTCAAATACCCTTTAAAATCACAATGAAGTTTCTGTCTGTGCCGTTACATAGAATGTGTAGCAATTTGAAATGGAGCCCTCCTGTGTCCCCTGCCTCAGTGTAGCCCTTTCAGCTCTGGTTACCCTTGACAACTGAGGAGAGGGGAGAGACATAAAGAAAACTTACAAGAAAAGCAGGCCAAATCGATCTTGTTATAATCAATGCAGATAAAATGGTCTTTGGCCTTTCAGAGGGTTTGTATGTGAAACACTGAGAAGTCTCACTGGCCTAGGCTTCCTGATCCAGCTCAGGAGTCAAGGTGGCTTCAGGGAGAAGGTGCAGAGGGCAGCAAGTTCAGAAACCTGAGCACCAACTGCAACCCAACCTTCATTCCTTCCCATGGGGAGTAGTTATTAGTTACTTACTGTATTCCTGGCATGATGTAAGAGCTGAAGACAGATACATTAAGAATCAAAGCACACTCACCCCTCCTTCCCTCATGAAGCCCAAGTGTCATGTAAACAAGTGATAAGCAAATATTTAATTTTCTCTTTTAGAGAGTGATGAAGCCAGAAGGAAAGATTAGAAGGGCAGCAGAGTCTCATGCAACTTTTAGTGGGGTTTCTAGGAAAGCTTCTTGAGGTCACCAGGTC